GAGCAGAATTGCCCAACCTCGCGAGGAAAGCTGGAAGTAGAGGTAAAGCCCTGTCATTCTCCTAAACTCATAACAATGTTGTTTGGGTTTTGATAGTTGGCCTTGGGAGATGAAAACCAAAAGCTTGCTTGTTTGTTTAGCCAAGTATGGCTAATAAACTTTAACATCAGCATAGTGATATTTAAAGCCATTTTATGTGGTTGTTTTAGGTGATTATATTATGTCAACAATTTGGTTCATAATTCTTATAAATCAAATTGTGGGGGCATTTGTTGACACCTAAAATTAATTTGGCCGGAATTAAATGCCGCATTAATTAGTCTCGGCATTTAAGTCGATACCGCGCGTAAAAAACGGTGCCGTTGGGAGTCGAGCGGCGTCGCGGAGAACTAAAATGGTACCGCAAGGAAGCTCAGCGGTGCCGTGGTACTGCAAACGACACCGCTTACCGAAAAACAAGAGGGCCGCGCGTGGGTATTGGAGAAGGAGTTTTCTCTAATTAATTATTATTTTTATTTCTTGTTGGATTGGAAGAAGCGGCACCGAGGGGAGTTAAAACGGTGCCGCGGAATTAAAAACAGTACCGCGAGGAAGCCCAACGGTACCGCAAGCAAACGACAGTGTTTAATAAAAAACAATGTCGCAAAAGGAAAAACAAACGGAGCCGTTTTGGCGCTAATGATGTCGTTGGTCGTGGACTAGTGATGGCCAGATTAGCTAATTAATATTTTTAATGACTTTTTAGCACGGTGTCGTTAGTTGAAAACGATGCCGCAAGAAGAAGGAACGACACCGCAGATTTAAAGACGATACCGCGAGTGGGCCAAACGATGCCGCAGTTGTTAAAACGACAGCGTTAAATTTAAAGCGGCATCGCAAAGTTCAACAGCATCGCAGAAATAGAAAACGATGATGTTTAATTAAGAACGGCGTCGCAAAGTGAGAGTTTGACAGCGTGTCAACAATGAGGGCCGGTTTTATTAATTAATATTTTAAGGATCAGTTAAGACGGTATCGCTTTAACCGAAAACGACATTGTGGGAGATGTCCACACCGTCGCGGTACTGAAACGATGTTGTTTAATTAAAAACAACGTCGCAGTGACGAGAGTTCAGCAATGGTGGATTTCGGCTCAGCGTCGTTTTGGACCAAGTTGCCACGTGCTCAAGCGGTTTCGCACTCGTGGGAGTCACGCAACAAGGAGGAAGTTACCTGCACGGTTGACAGGATTGAAGACGTGGGAGACAAAGGCGCGAAGGCAGTTACTACGACGAGGAGAAGCGCGAAGTATAAAGATTGGGAAGAGAGAGAAGTTTAGGACGGCAAAATCAAATCACAACTGCATCGTCGCAGATCTATCAGTTTTTCTCCGTAGCTTTGTAGAACCGCTCTGTCAAAGACCTCCTTTGCAGAGTCGTAGTAGTTGTAGTCGTAGTTGCGGAGCTCTCCAGAGGAACCTCCATAGGAGTAGAGGTAACGTAACTTAGAACTCCTGGTTCGATTTTCTGGTTATTCGTTGAACACCCTCGTTCGAACGTAGTTTGGAGAGGTGGTGAACCGAGTAACGGTTGTTTGATTAGAAGTCAAATGTGTATTGATCGAATCAACATCGCCGACGCCGGCGGTGGATATTTGACAGTCATCTTGGTTTCTGTTTAATCGATCAAATCAACGGCGCCGACATTCGGCGACGGATATTTGACGGTTTTTGCTGACTTTGGGTTTTTGTTTCCTTGAAATCAGAGCGCATTGAACGCGCGAGTTTCGCCAACGAAACAGAGGGGATAGGTAATAGCATTTTGGTCCTGCTTTCAGAGCTTCAATCTGCTTTGCTTTTCATCGCGACATGGTTAAGTTTTGTTTCACATCGGCTTCGCTGCCGTCGGATTCAAGTGGCAGGGGCGGCTATTGAGATAAGATGGAGCATGAGCAGGAGGTCCGGGAGGCAGAGAGGCGAGATGGAAGTGGCGGAGCTCCGACATCGCACCAACCTATGGCGGTCGAAATCTCGTATGTTGAAGACCGGAGGAGAAGCTGAAGGTTCGCCGGCGACGGGGAAGATGCAGTTGCTTGAATCGATGATGGCAACTGGTGAAAAAAATCGATCTGCTACTTACTGGAGGAGAAGCGGGGGATTCGCCGTCGTCAGCAGGGAACAACGAGCTTTTGGCTCTTGTTTTTATATTTTTAATAATGTGAAAAAATAGGTGTAAATATAAAAAGATTATATTATATTATTATTTTTTAATAGCCACGTCACTCATTTAACAGTCAACTATAAAGATTGACTGCCACATCAGCAAAAGTTAACGGAATTGGACAGCCAATGACCAAATTTGAACTATTAAACTAATCTTAGTGACCACGAACAGAATTAAATATTTTTAGTGACTAAACATGAATGTTTTTAATAATATCAATGACCAAAGTTGCAATTTACCCTCCACTTAAATGAGCTTTTCATTGAACCATTGAGCCCCAGCCTATGGATCTTCACTTTGTCCATGTGGTCTTCCATCTCATCCACTATGAGTATATACTAACTAAAACTCTAAAAGTGCTCTTAGTAGAATAGCTAGGTGCCTAGGTTGGCGAAAGTTGTACTTGTACCATTCTGCACCAAAATCTGACTCCTTGACAAGCAATCCGAGCGGGAATCGGATATGACTCATGGGGCAACATAACCCAATTGTTTCCAAGCTGGGCCTACGAAGCCCATAAACCCAGCCCACAAGAGATCGCTGCTCCGTCTTCTCTATGATTAGGCTTAGAGTTACACGCTCTTCCAACTCCGCTGTTTACCTCAGTTCAGTTCCCAGCCGCCGCCGCCCGCCACACTTTTCCCCCCGGTATCGATCCCGCCGCCGTCGCTCAGGTGAGCCCAGTTGTCGCGTGTACACAGATGTTAAATACATGGCAGAAAAGGATAACTCGTTTTCAAATTCACTTGCATACTGGTTAGGATTTTCTTGAAGGAACCTCACTCACTTTAATTGTGTTCTTCTTTGCACCTTCTTTTCTTCATGCTTGCAGTGAAACAACGCTGGAATTAAATATGTGGGTAGGAGAGGGATTGAAGGTTGAAGAGATTCATGGGAAAGGAAGGGGTTTGGTTTCATCTCAGCCATTGAAAGGTGGTCAAGTTGTGCTCAAAGATTCCCCGATTCTCCTCTACTCTACTCGCCCGTTGAATCCGCAGCAGCAAGTCCATTCAACCTCCGCTCTCTGCTGTGACAATTGCTTCAGAAGGATACAGCCAGCTTCAGCTGCAATACCTTGCCCTTCATGCTCTCACAACAACAATCACCATTTCTGCAGCACTAACTGCCTCTCAGTTGCAGCTGCCTCCTCTCACTCTCCTTGGGAATGCCAATCCCTCGCTCGCTTAAGTAATTACCCTGATCTTACTGTTCATCAGCCTATGGAGCGCCAGGTTCAAGCTCGGTATCTCGTGGCTGCCTACAATCTAGCTATAGTGAACCCTTCCCAGTTCCAAATTCTGATGTCTCTCCAATCCACCCACAGTGGTGATGACGTTGCATCAGCGAAAGCTGCCGTTTTCCTGCACTCCCTTATATCCACGCTTTGCCCGCCTCCTACCACAGCGCAAGGGTTTGCCTTTACGTTGGAACTGACATCCTCTCTTCTGGCGCGGGACAAGCTCAATGCTTTCGGTTTGATGGAGAACATTCGTGGGGAGAGGTCGGTCAGGGCTTATGGTATCTACCCGAGAGCTTCTCTGTTCAATCACGATTGCCTCCCGAATGCTTGTAGATTTGATTATGTGGACTCGGACTCCGGTTCTAATACCGACATCATCATTCGGATGATTCACGATGTCCCTCAGGGGAGAGAGATCTGCCTTAGTTATTTTCCAGTCAATGAGAGCTACTCATGTCGGCAGAAGAGACTGCTTGAGGATTATGGATTCACCTGTGATTGTGACCGATGTAAAGTTGAAGCGAATTGGTCTGATTCGGATCAAGAGGAAAACGACGAGGGAGAGACTGACCAGGTGGAGGAGATGGATGAGGACCAAGATGAGGAAATGGAGGCAGGGGAAGAAGATCTTCATTTGGGTGATGATGAAGCCCGAGAAGACTTTCCTCATGCTTACTTCTTCTTGAGGTACATGTGTAATGTGGAGAATTGCTGGGGGACAATGGCTCCTTTGCCTCCATCAGATGGTAACTCATCTAATTTGCTGGAGTGTAATGTGTGTGGTAATCTGAAAAATGATGAGCTTCTTGGTGCTGAATGCTGATACTATGGATAGAGGAAGGCAATGAATTGTAGTCTGTTCAACTACTATGATGCACAAGAAGATTGTTTTGAGTTATCTGGCAAAATACCAGTACGTTGTTCGCCATTTTGAGGTACAAGATTGGAGGTTGAAAGCTGGCTGAGACTTAAAGCTCACAGCAACTATGCATTATTAGCTTTTACATTCGACAACTTTTAGATTTGAAAGTCGTCTAGAAGACCGTAGTTATAAACAGAAAGGCTCTTCTTGGATTAATTGACAGGGGCAGGGGATGAACCCTGCAGCAGCAATGGAGGAACAGAGCTTGTACGTGGCGGCAAAGAAAAGACAAGATTTTGCCCTGGTATTATATTTCTAGCCTTGCTTGCCAGCAATATCATGAGGATTTTCATGTTCAAATGTAATTCGTGAATGCCTTGCATATTCTCTTGTAATTCCTAGATTTCGCCTTAATCGAGTAACGAGGTCATATTGCAAAGTTCCTTTCTTTGATATTACCAGCATTTGTTTTATGAATGTGTTTGGCAATCAAAATTCATTGTTCTGTCATCTGTGCCACAAATGCCAAGATGATCCATGTCCATCGTCTTTCTTGGTCCCGTGGCATAAATCAGAATGTGTTGCTTTTTGAGTATCTATGCGAGATAAGTCAAATATTAATTGGGAATTTATGGTTGGGATACTGACTGAATTTGACGGCTTTGACAGTAATTTTGCATTAATTATAAGATAGCATCCCGTACTTAAGGAATGATAATGATAATAATAATGATAATAAGAACATCCCGACTTAATTTGGGAGGAAGAAAACTTGCCTAGATAGGCAACATGAATCAAGATTTGTGTACCTGAAGGAAAAGGGCTGCCTGCTGGCACCATGAAGTTATTGAAGAAGCTGACAGAATCATGTCTGAATCCATTTAGTAACTCTTTTTCCTTCACCCTTTTTTTTAGTGCAGTTAAATACCCGACCCCACTGGGAACAATAAAGATCTAAACTTTCTGCTGATAACAAATCTGCCCATGTGATTACTTGCACAGAATTGACAAGAACAAGTGAAAAAGATTTCATCTATACTACAAACAATAACCACCCATCTTGTTCTTTCCCTTTAATAAAAAGCCTGCAAATACTCTCCACCCCAAAAGAGAAGTCTTGTGCTTGCCAAATCTAGCTTCCTGGAATACAGTTTCAGGAATCTGGTTTGACAGTCCACCATTGGCAATATCAATCCACCAAAGTCAAAAAGAGAATCTTTCCCTCCCAACATGCCACATTGCTACTAGAGCCTCTCAAGCTTTTTCTATTTGATTAGAGAATCAGACAGGCAGTTCCAAGAAATGGACAAAATCAGTTGTACGAAGGTTGTCGTTCTTCCAGGTGAGTCCGAGGACAAACCAAGTGGGAAGATGGGGTACAAGGTTGGCAGCAGAGGGATCAAATGTGAGAAGCTGAGGAACCTGATCATCAGAGCAGTGAAAACTCACAAGTCGAATTCCAGCAATCCTGCTTCTTCTACACCTGGAGAATCCAGGTTCTGGGCTATAGGAATCACATTGCTGCTGATTGTGATGTGGACTTGTGGAATGCAGTCAATGGCTTTCCAGAATGCCAAGTGGCCAGCAGCAACTTTGAAATTTATCCATCCTGCTGTTATCATACCTGAAAGTACATATAGTTTTTCCTTAATCTTGACTCCCCAGACAATTATTGCAGCACAGGCTAAAAGCTTCTTACTCTGATTTTTGCTTTTCTCCAGGAGTTTACCGCAACAATGGATATCTGACTGTGTCATCCAATGGAGGATTAAATCAAATGCGGTCAGGAGTAAGTTTGAAAAAACTCTTGAGACATTTTCTACCCTTTCCTTTAGTTGATTTTGGTTTGGTCTTCTATTTTTCTGAAAGCATATTTCTTTCAGATTTCAGACATGGTTACTATTGCAAGATTCTTAAACCTGACGCTTGTAGTTCCCGAACTGGACAACACCTCATTTTGGCAAGATAACAGGTGATGAACTCAAATTAATTCTGTCAATATTGTGGTGATCAACCCAAATTTACTTTCCTAACAGTTTCTCACAAAAGGATAATCCGGTTTATCAATACCCTCATTTTTTGCAGTCAGTTTGGGGACATCTTTGATGTCGATCACTTCATTGATTCCTTGAGAGACGAACTTAGGATTGTGAAAGAGTTGCCTCCATACCAGAAGTATAAACTAAAGAGTCGGCCACTGTTTCAACTGGCACCTCGTAGCTGGTCTAACATGTCCTATTACTATAATACGGTTAGTTTTTCATTTTTTTCTCGCTTTTTTACCTTCTCGATTAAACTTTGGTTTATGGTCCAAGTACTTGAAAAATTACTGGTGACAACCAGGTTCTGCCAATCTTCAGAAAGTTCAAAATAGTCCATTTCCTGAAGACCGATGCTAGACTCTCGAACAACGAGCTTCCTGAGAATGTTCAGAAGATGCGGTGCAAGGTTTACTATGAAGGGTTAAGGTTCACTCCATACTTGGAGAAGATTGGGAAGAAGGTCGTGAGCATCCTGAGGAAGAAAGGTCCCTTCTTGGCTCTTCATCTTAGATACGAAAAGGATATGTTGGCATTCACTGGTTGCACCAAAGAGCTTAATAAGCAAGAAGTAGACGAGCTTACGTCAATGAGGTTTGTGATTCAGAGTTTCTTCCTGTCTCCCCAATTTGGGTTCTCTTCTCTCATGAGGTATGTTTCAAAAGGTATGCATGTCCATGGTGGAAGGAGAAGAAGATAAACTCGACACAGAAAAGGGAAGAAGGGTTATGCCCAATGACTCCAGGTGAAGTTGGGCTTGCACTGAAAGCACTCGACATAGATCCGGAGATCCAAGTCTACATTGCTGCCGGGGAGATTTATGGAAAGGAAAAGAGACTCGAGGGTCTTAGAGCTTTCTATCCAAATCTGGTTAGTTAAGTCAGTTAAATGAATCATGAAATAACAACATTCAGATATATGGTTCAGGATAATGCTTAGTCTAGTGATGATGGTTGATTTCTGTTGGTTTGTCAGGTGAAGAAGGAAACTTTGCTACCAAGTTCAGATTTGGGAGAGATTAAGGACCATTCAAACAGGATGGCAGCAGTGGATTATATTGTGTCATTGGCTAGTGATATTTTCGCCCCAAGCTATGATGGTAACATGGCCAAAGTTGTGGAAGGCCACCGCCGGTATCTGGGATACAAGACGACTATACGTTTGGATAGAAAGGTTCTAGTGACACTGATAGACAAGTACAAAAGCGGGAAAATGAGGTGGGATGAGTTTTCTGATTCAGTGAAGAAGGCTCACAGAGGGCTAATGGGTGGACCTGTTCAGAGACTGAAGATCCGTGGGAAGCCAAAAGAAGAGGATTACTTCTACTTAGATCCTGAGGAGTGCTTGCCCAAAATGTATCCGTCTTCACAGGGTAAAAGGTCAGACAAGAAAAAGCATTAGAAGCTCCTCACTTTTCTGCTTAAGAAACCTAGAAGCTGTTTTCTTTTTTCACTGTTACATTTAGCAGAAGTAGATTGTAAAGTGGTTATGCAATACAGATATGATTGTAGAGTTGTTTTTCCAACTTTGTATTATCTCCACTTTTCTCCATTCCAAACTGTTAATTTATAAATGGATAAAGGAAAAGGTTGATCATAACAGTTAGGCTTTGTTGCCTTTTGCTGACACTTCAAAGTAAATCAGGAGAGTTTGATTTCCCAGTGGTTTTAGAAGAATAGTTCTATTCGATCCATGAAAACCGTAACCCTAAAGGTATTACATAGGCATATGCTTTGATCCACTGATGATCAATATTTTCAAGGTGGCAGTGCCAAGCTGAAGCAACAATCGTCCATCTAAACGCTGGCCTGAAGCTTTTCCATTTTTACCGAGGTAAGTTCCAGTTACTAAGTAGAAAGTTGACACAGCAGATAGAAATGTTCTTTTTTCCCATAACCATGGAAAGAGGGTAAGAATTGCCTCTGTAAGTGCAAGGAACTTGTTTCATGCAATGCTGCCGTGTCAGACTTCCTTGCCATTATGAATGAATCTCAACGATACTCGAGAAGATTCAGTGTCAAGTCTTCCAACAGTTGTTGGGATCTCAAGTTATTGGTACAAGATGAATTTGACGTGTAATTTCTTTTATGCATTTTAACGATTAACTATAACATGTTCATCACCTTTTTTCTGGGATCAATAGCAGATGAAGAATGGAAGCATAAGCAGAGCTGCCAAAAGAATTTCTTAAGGATCTTATCAGAATGCTGTGACTGGTTATGCTTTGAGTTTGTAGTCTATTCAAATGAATCAACACTAGTTTTAATTTGTTGATGTTTAGGAATGGTAACCTCAATCAGTTAATGCTCCATGTTCACTTTCAAGACAGGAAACAATATGAAAAAAATTTCCAAGCCTCGTCAATGCATCTTCAAACCTTTTAATTTGAGAGAATAAACCCAAAAAATTCGTCACTCACGCTGTTTGCCAGAGGTGATTCCTTGAATTTTGTTTCCAGGAATCATTTCCTGGTTCGAGCCGGGAGATAGCCTCTAACTTTAGTAAGGTAGCTTCAATACTTTAGGTATTATCATAACTAGTATCAATACTCACGGCTACGCCGCGAGAGATATATAGTCGTATATTTAGAAGTACTACAGTGATAACAAAGATAATTAGAAATTATATACAGAAAACAAATACCATATGTTTTGTTAAAAATCGACGCAATTACTAAATTCTTATAGTGTAGCAAGTTCCAGTATTTCTATATAAACTCGCTGGTTGGTTTTTCCTCTTCAAAGCAGCAAACTCAACTCACACAGCATGAAACAAAAACATATTAGTCAATAGAATTTTATGAGCTTGCGAAGGAAGAGAGAACAAACATTATAATTAAAATATCATTCTCTTGAGCGTCCAGTTCGGCAAACTGATTTTCTGGTAATTGTGAATGCTTTCAGTGTGGCGAAGCATGGATTCACATACATGTTTGCTTCTTCTCTATAGAGTAGGACCCAAGACTTTAAGGGCTAATGGAACACCAAGAACATAATTGCATATATTCATACCTAGGATGCCAAACGGGTGGCGAGGCAAGTAAATTTACTAAATAGTGGTATCCTTCAACTTCTATCACATTTGCAAGCATTTGTTCATGTCATTGTAACCCGTTGGACAAAGCTCTTCCTTCCCATCTGCAAACTAAAACAGCACAGACCTAGATGGTGAATTCAAGCTCAAGAACCACCCCAAACTTTAATCAGAACAATGGTACATCAGCAACCCATAGGCAATACATATATAAGTAGAAATGGTGAACAGAGAATAAATCAAAAAAGCAAAGCTTGCATAGGGAAGAAGCGAAACTGAATTGCAATTTGCAAGCAATGCCAAAATATAAAATATATCTCACATACCCAAAGTCTCATAAACAACCGCAGTGGAAAACCTCCAAACTCTATGAGCTGACAGGAACTCAGTGGTCGGCCAACTGGACACCATGCACTACTCTGGGGGAAATGATGAGATTTTTATGAGCAGCAATTGCATCAAAAGGCAATAACTTCACCTGAAAAGCAACTGCAATCGAGATAAAAGAAAGGAACAATTTACCCTCTATATGCAGCTTTTCACAGGTTTGGCCAACCTTAGTCCTCTCTCCCTGCAGGTACCCTAACTGAGCCATCACAGTATATGAATAGAGAAGGAATCTCCCATCATAAATCACAACAGTCGTTGAAAATGACCCAAAAAAGGAATAGAGTCACCAATTTGTAACTCTCATTAGTGGCTTAGGTTCAATTATAGGAGACATAATCAGTGGAACTCTTGCAAAAGTGAAGGAAAACTCCTAAGCAACAACTTTGAATTGCAAACAGAAGCCAATAAGAATGCATCACATCGAAAAAGCAAAACTAACCCTGAAGAATCAAAATGGAAAGGTTCTAAGACTCTGGGGTTTACAGCAATTAAAAAGCAAAATATTCAAAAGCGCAAAAAGGATTAAAGAAAACAGACTTAAAAACATCCCAAACACCATTCCACATGAGGAGACCAATCAAGAGCCAGAGACTTTATCCAGTAGGGAACAATAGCAAGCGATTTTTGGATGAAAATACAACATAGGTCACTCCATAAATCCTCAATGGTTGGAATTCCACGAATAAGTAGTAACATTCAGTTTCACTGCACATGGATCATATAACTTCAGTTTTCCTGCATATGTATCATATATATATATATATGCAGTATCAGCTTCATTGCACTTGATTGGCGACATTGAATTTGGCACATAGAAAGTGAAAGCAACAGCTGGATATATTAAACAAACAGCAAAATTGGAACCAACTATTACCTTCATTGGCATCAAGATATTCGTGATTTGCACCTGGAATGAAAACCCCAATTCGGAATCAAAATTTCTGGGTATGGAAAATTTGAAAGGGGTCGACGGCTGGATAGTGAAATCCGACGAATTGCAGACACTGGTGATGAATCGAAGTTGGAGAAGGGATCGAAATTGCAATTGGAGGCCTGCCGAAGACGTTGGAGTCGATGAATTGGATTGGGGAAGCTTGAATCGAAAACCCCCAAATCGTTCGAGCAAGAACATATACGAAAGTAACGTCAAATTACCTAGGAATTGTTCTGATCAATTTCCAGCAAAGTTGAACGACGAGGCAGGTTTATTTCAACTCCGGGACGAGTTTCCAACATCCCTACAAGCTTCAAGGACCCTGCTGAAGATCGAAGCTGCATTTGAAGATGCCACAGATATGCCAAAGATTGTGTTTGAGCAGCCTACTTTCGATCCAATTTGGGATCAATTCTGTGAACGGTTTGAGCAACAAAAGGCTAAAGTGTTGAGGGCAACACTTTTTCAAGAGGGAGGGCCTGATACGTTCCCAAATTGCCCACCATTCACGTCACAATTGCTTGACAAAGAAGCTATCAAAGTTGGGAAGAAGAAAGGCAGACTTTGGCAGTCAAAATCCATGTTCAGGGTACATACTTTGGAGGCATGGTTCTCTCAATTGGCTTGGTGGAAATTCAGTTTTAAGGATTCCTTTTGCATATAAAGTTTCCATCTTTCCAATGGTATGCTTTATGGATCCAGATGATGTCATTAAGGTAGTTTTCCAAGGCCTCAAAGTTGCTACCTCAAAACTGGAAAACTGCCAGAAAATGGTTCAAGTCTGGAAACTGTTTTGTGAAGCCTACTTTGGAGCATAATTCGAGGAGTATTGATCTTATTCAAGTCCAAAGGCTTCCATAACATGAAACTAGGTATGTTTGTGAACAAAGGGAAGGAATTGGATGAATAATTGGAGTTCGGGAAGGCCTCGAACAAAAGGCGGGAATTTAGTACGAAAGCTGCCTTTTGACTGTTTGCGGGCAGCTTACTTGTGCTTCAAGAAAGGAAGTTTGTGTCCGAATTTTGTAACCTTTTTAGATTAGAATTTTACCATATTTGTTTCCTTGTTCATCTAGGTTTGTATTAGGTTTTCTTGGCTATAAATAGCCTTCTATTTACGTTGTAAAAACGGAGACTTTGATTAATCGAAAAACAAACACTTTGGTTTTGTGCAAGTTGCGACTTGTTTGAGTTTAGTGGATTCCAAGCTTGTGAGCTTTGTATCGATTGAATATCCTCTCAATAGTGGTCGAGAAGTTACCCTTTTATACCATACGAGCTTTCCCCAGGTGTGGAATTGTCCGTTGGTTCCGTTTTATCCCAATTTCGTATTAAGAACGCTTTGTTTCTTGATTCGAGCTCAATCGATTCTTCGATTGAGTCGTTAGCTGCGTGACTTTGATAAACATACACCCCCCTAGGGGCGTATTAAGTGGTATCAGAGCCCCGTTCTACACAAGGGCGAAGGAGAAGAAGAACTTGTTGTTTCGTATAAGCAAATTTCGTCAAAAAAAAAAAAAAAACAGGGCAGCCCATGTTTCATAAGTTTCAGCTGCTGTTTCGTGTGGAATCTCGATGGAAAACGCTGTCAAAGAGGAGGAGTGTGTTGGAGGCAGTAGTGAGGCCAAAAATCTGCCAAATTGTGGCCAAAAGAAGCAGCCAGCAATTGTCATCAAGCACAGGGAGTCCGACGAGCAGCGGGACAACATATTTCACAGCCGGTGTTTTGTTGAAGAAAAATTGGTGTCTTTGGTGATCGATGGAGGCAGCTGTGCAAACCTCATAAGCTTAGACGCCGTCAAGAAGCTTGGCTTGAAGACACAAAAACATCCCCAGCCTTACCAACTCAGTTGGATCAACGAACACGGGACGATCAATGTGACAAACAAGCTTTGGTTTGTTTTAAACTCGGCAGGTACGAAGATGAAGTGATTTGTGACGTTGTACCGATGCAAACAGCTCACCTAATACTGGGCCGACCTTGGCAATTCGACCGTAAGTTAACACACGAGGGCTGGACCAACCGCTACAAGCTTCCGTATCAAGGTAAGACAGATTGTGCTAAAGCCCCTTTCTTCGGACGAAGTTTACGAAGATCAAAAGCAGTTGGAGAAGAATCGAGCTACGGGAAAGGAGTCCAAGGCTCAGTTATGGGTTCAAAGACGCATTGGGTTTAATTTTATGAGCTTAAGAAAGCTCCAGAAGGCAGTTCCCGAGTCGGAACCCGCTGGAAGCACTGACCCCTGTTCGTCGCGGAGAAAACAGAGTCCCGCGTGTGGCAGCTTTACAGACGACGAGGAAGGGACGCTGGAGCCTGAAGAAGCTTCTGCATCGCTGATGGAAGGTCAAGAAAAGGATTCCCAAACTCCAAGCGTTCCAAATCAACAGGAAACCGAAGATGTTGATTCGTCGATCAATTGTTTGGGCACCGGCAGACCCTGTTCTTCCTCAAGAAAACAGAGCAGGAAAGAGGGAGAATCGGTTGGGGATCTGGGAAGCGATCCGAACTCAGTCAATCATGCCAAAAACTTCCATGGGTCATCGCGAAGCTCTCCTAGCGATTTGATTGAATCTAATGTTCCTAATTTGCAGGATATGCGTCGAGCTAACCCACCCCTGCAGGAGCTCCAACACGAGGACGAGATGGAGGAATTGGTCGGGAAGGTGGAGAAAGATTCGATCGAATCCAAGTGCCCCTACACACTCGACGTAACCCCAGGAATGAATTCGCTGGAAGGTATTGATAAAAAAAACTCCAATTCGGAGAATCAAACTCGGAGCAAAACTCCTCTGAACACGTTCGAACAGGGCAAGCGAACGGCTGAGTTGGCAGGAGAATACCAGGGCCATTTGACCCAATCAGATGATGTCGAATCGTCAAGCGAGGTTCCAGGAATCTTTCACATAGGCTTGATCGACGCGAATGGGCCTCGCTTGGCAAATCAAAATCGCGTTCCAAAGCCTCTGGAAACGCAGCAGCAAGAAGGAAAATTCGCCGAATGGGTTACGATGATCGGGAGAAATCCGACCCAAACGAACGATGTGGAATCGTTCGGGGCCGTTCTAGGAAGCTGTTGAAAAAATCGAATTGTGGCGGAAAAAGCTGGAATGAAAAACCCCAATTCGGAATCAAAATTTCTGGGTATGGAAAATTTGAAAGGGGTCGACGGCTGGAGAGTGAAATCCGACGAATTGCAGACACTGGTGATGAATCGAAGTTGGAGAAGGGATCGAAATTGCAATTGGAGGTCTGCCGAAGACGTTGGA